ACTTGAAACCAACAAGCAAACATACATAAATCATTTCCATACACCTTTTCTATATATTTAGGCCTTCTTGTCTTGTATCTTTCTTTATTTCTTTCTAACAAGTCAAATACAAAATCCTTCCATATCAAAAGTATATCTCTTTTATCCATAGCTTTTCTAATATCTTCTTATGTCTCATTTACTATTAACCTTCTATAACAAACTTCAGCTGTTAAAATTTTAAAGTGTTCTTTTTCTGTTCTCAGATTGTTACATCCTAAAATTTGACTGGCTACCTATAGAACAGTATTAACCTTGAGTTTTTAATCAACAAAGTACAAAAGAGCAAGTTAACCCTATAATTGTAATTCAAGAATTTGCAATACACAAGAAGTGTTTAAGGCACACCAATTAAACTTAATTTAAATTGAAACAAAGATACATTTATCAAATTGTTAAAATTTTTAACTTGATTTTTCTTGTAAAAATCTCTTGATGTCTGGTAAAACACAATTGCAGTTTCTTTGGCTTGCAGTGTTTTTTTCTTTTCTCTATTGTATGTTTATCAGTTTTTCTACCTGCTTTTAATCTATTAAAGATTTATTTTCTCATTTTAGTTCTTTCTAATTTGAGTGCAAACCCTGTTCCATTTTCTCTGAGTCTCATCATGCTTTCCCATCTGCACCCTCCAGTGTGGTAAAGCTAAACAATTTTGTTCTGCCCCTAACTCCTGCACACCTTCTATCTTAGCAACTCAAGTGGAGGGGAAGTGGCTGGACCTCCTCCAAAGGGGAAACACTGGGATTTGCCTGCGAGGTTGTCACATTTTCTGAGAGAGGCAAGTTCACCATGGGAAAACAGCAGATTTAGCAAGCAGGTTTTCTAAGACCAAAACTAAATAGTTCTCACTAGCAGCTGATTACCGCAGAGCAGAAGCTTGAGCAGCTCCTAGAGCACACAAGGCTCCAAGTTGTCAAAGTCTCAAGTAAACAAAACAAAGGCAGATAACTTGCCTTTTGTCTAGAGTTTTTTTTTCCCCCTGGGGGCCAAGTCTGGCTTAGCTGAGACTATGATAACTCATAAAGTTTCTTAAGCATCTTTGATTGCAGTTTTATCTAATAGTCCCCCACAAAATCTTTATCAAAATTTTGAATTATGCACTTCAGAACAGTTGGTTTGGTATTAGCATTCCCCACAACCATTAGATATTCCCTTGTCCAGTGATGCAAGACAAAGGGTGGGGTGCCGTCCCAGGGAACGGCCTCATTCACTCATCAGCCCAGCCCTGAGCTTCCCAGCTCTCCCAGGCCCACCTGGACCAAAGGAGAGCTTCCAGTTGCAAGAGTCTCTGCCCTGTCCTTTCTAAGCACAGCCACAGACTTGCAGGACTGACCCACACAAGCTCTGCAATGCCAGGAGGGCTCTTTAAGCACAAGCACCCCCTCCCTTTGTTTTGGTGCACAGACAAGGCTACTGATGACTTTTGTAACTCGTTCCATTCACTCTCCTAACCAAGTCTCTTTCACACACACAGTCACACAAGAAGTTAACACATTCCCTCCCTGGGGCCCCTTCCAAAGACAAACTAGGGAGCAGCCCAGGGGATCTCACCATTCAGACAGACGATTTCACTCACTTGCCTTCTTTCTGTTCCGCTACTGGTGAGCTGGCCTCCGAGTCCTAGAAAGGCAACCCAGGAAATCCTGGCAGGTGCACCTCTTCCATTCCAAGGAGGAAGACAGTCGCTCTCTCCTGCAGGACTCAGGTTGAGGCCCAATACGGGCTGTGTCAGTTAGCCCCTTCCTTCCCGCGGGAGAATTTGACTCCATATTCATCTTCCTGCTCAAGGGAAAAGCCAGTTTAAAATTAGTGAGAAAGCAATCCAGCAGGGTGTTCTTGGAGCCAGATCCTCCCATCCCTGTTTTAAGGAAAATACAAAGTTAACACACAACAGACAAGACACTGACAAGACAAACAGGTGCCACAAAAAAGAAAAGCTTTGATTCTACCCAGAATCCTCGTCAGGGCCGGGGTCAGGGGAGGCTTCCCAGCTCGTCAGCCACTCGATCCTGACAACTAACGGTTGCAACTGGTCCAAAGCTTACCTCCGGAGGCTTTCAAAGGTCTGTGTCTGAGAATCTCCCGCTGGATCCCGCTACAGAGAATCTCGGCCGGATTTACAGTTCTCATCCGGGGATCTCAATGGGGCCTCCAATAATGTAAGAACTAAAGTCTCGCTTCCACTCCACGGAGCGTGAACAGCCAAAAGGCCTCCACGATGCTGAGTCCTATATCCCAACAATGGCTCCGGATGCAAGATCCAGGGCCTTACTCCTGGTATCCGTGAACAGCCAAAAGGGCCTCCACAATGCTGGGACCTATAGCTCAGCGAGGCTCTGGGAGCTCGACAACTGAGGAACAAGAGTCACCCAGGAAGGAACACATCAGGCTAGATGGTAAACAGACCTTTATGAGTCTGGCTAGACGGCACTCCCAGAGCCAAGTAGCTCTGAGAGGCAACTGCTCAGGGGCTGAGGTAGTTTTATAGGGTTTTTCTAAACAAAAAAGTTCAAACATAGGTCAGGGCATTCATAGAACTACCAGAGGACAAGATTCCAAACATACTGCTTATCTTATGCAGGAAATGTTCTGTGGTCACCTTTTGTCATACCATTTGTCCCTGGGCCAGCTGTTAACTTAGTTAGCAATTAGCATGTGAAGAAGCACAGTCTCTGGCCTATAAGCATGGAGTCACTTTAGCTCATTCAGGTCTCACGGAGTCCCCATCTTGCCAAGTGAAAACAGCTCTGAAATTGGGGTCACACCAATGATCTAGGGGTGATATAGGGACCTCTAACTGATTAAGGCAAATATAACTCCTAACCTGCAAGGTGTCTGATAATGCTGAGTTCATGTTCTCTAAAATAGAAAAATGAATTGTAGGAACAGTGGAGGTTAAGAATAAGTATTTATTGAGGGAAAGACAGCTTCTAAAAGAGGCAAAAGGAGACCCAGAAAGTGGGTTGCTGTGGACTCCACTTGCAGGGGAGGCTTTATAAAGCAAAATCACGAGGTGGATACCATATCATGACTTGAATATAAGGTGGGACAAAACTATGGTAAACTAGTAAGATTACAAGTATAGTCTCTTAGGAAATATTATTCCAGTGGGGAAGCAAAGAACAAACACCTTTCCTGGAAGGGGTCAGGGACCTTTCCTGGAAGAGACTGGGTTAAAGTCTTGGTTCCCCCACCCAAGTGATTAATGTCTATTTAGACTATCAATCGTTTATCCCAGTAGGGGAAGTAGGTGTGGTCATTTGGGCTTGGTCTTGAGGTCTGGTGCCTCCCTCCACCCACTATATGTGTTTTTACATTCTTTAATGGCTTCCTCCACAGCCTAGCCCTGCCTAACTGCCTTCATATTTCTAACTAAATTAGCTGTGTGTAGTATTAGGAATGTAAGGTAGTTAATTCTGCAGAAAAGGACAGTGAAAATGTCCTCTGGGGCTAAGGGTGGAGCTCAGTATGAGAGCGCCTGATTAGTTTGTGTGAGGTTCTGGGCTTCATCTCCGGACACACAGACATGTAAGCAAACATGTTATCACGTTCACTCACTGATGTGAGATGAGTTGGAGGGAGAACTCCAGTGACCTGCTGTTGTCCTGGGAGGAACAAACCTGAGAGAAACCATTTATTTTTGGTGGTGGTGTTTTGTTTGTAGAGTCAGAGCCTCACTATGTAGTCCGGGCTGGTGTGGAACTCACAGCTATCCTCCTGCATCAGCCACCCCGCCCCCGCAAGTGCTGGTATCACAGAAGAGCGCCACCAACCCTCAGTAGAAGCTATTTCTTGTGGATCACCTGCCTCCCATCCCGGGTGTCACGTAGGAGCCAAGGGGCGGGACTATTAACTCGCCCAATGGCCTGGCGAAAGGTCACGGAGGAAGCACTGGGATTGCGCTGTGGGCGTGGCTCTTCCCTCTGAATGTGCCTTGAAGTTGGGTCTCTTAAAGTCACTGTGCTTTGTCCTTGGTCGCTCAGTCCTCAGGAGTGCTGAGAGTTTCTTGGGAAGACAGAGCTAGCCCAGCAACAGGAAAATAACAATGTGTACAGGGTTGGGCGTCCCGAGATTCGGGAAGCCCGGCTGTGGGCAACGCCGAGCCGCGTGACGGACCCTGAGCCCGCGTGAGCTCTGGAGTCTCCAGTCGGGGTCCTGCTTGGTCCTGGTCCTGTTTCCCTCAGGTGCGCGCGGGGCTGGGTCGCACCGGTACCGGGTCCTATCCTTCCCTGCGCGGCGAAGCGGGCCGGTTTGGAGCCCTCTCAGCTGCTCCGCCGCAGCGCGCGTGT